TTCTTTTCATCAACTCGACGAAGCCGACCATTCACAGGAAGAAAGTCGGCGCATTTGCATCGCACGAGGCGTTTTCATTACCGGCGGTCAGGGGACCTCTTTTGCAGGGGAAACGCCTGACATGCATTACAGGAGGGGATAGCGACCAAAAGGGGATCATTGTATGCGTTCACAGCGGTTCAACAGGAGGCGGCAGGACTATTTGAAGTTCAAAAAGACGAAAGACGAAAGGCTTGCTCTTGGTGCGCCGTCATTTTGCCAGCGACCCACCGAGCTCTTAGCGAGCCATTCTGAATGAGAAGATATTTGTTACCCAAACACTGAACTGACCTGATCATCCACGACGATACGAAGACAGGCGACTGATGGCGATGCGGCCGTCAAGCAGACGAGTGCGTCTTGCCCGGGCTGAAACATGACAGGGGATGATGAGTTTAGGTCCAAAGAGGATCTAAACTGCTTTCTCTCCGGACTTGCTCACTCGGCTTACTCTGACTCCACGACCTTGCTCGTAACTCTGGCTAAAGATATCACACAGTCCTTTGACTCGCTCTTGATCAGGCTCTAAGTGTCTTAAGCGTGGGCCCATTGCCCAAAAGCATCAGGAAGTCGACTGCTCAAGGTAGTTGTGAGGGGTCGAGGAGCCGTCAAAGGAGGGGAGGTGGCCAAGGTAAGGAAAAAGCAAAATCGCAAGTGATCACGAGGTCAGTTGTCTGGGACAAGGGAGGGGGCCAACTTGCAAGCGTGAGATGGCGTCGATATCGCAACCCGGAAAGCCATTACGCAATCCGAAATAAGGGGTCTATTGCTTAGGTTGGTGCGATGAGAGGGCCCCTTCAAACCACAGCCCCTGTCAGGAAAGGAGACGGAAGTGATCTGCAGACTTTTTGATGGTAAGCGAGAGATTTGGCGTGCGACTGGTGGAGGTCACACTCTTGTCGGAGATGGGACTGGAGAGAGTTGAGGCCCTCCCTACGGAGTGAGGGAAGTGAGGTAAGTCACAAAAGTAGCCTCCCCTCTTCCCCCCCCCCCCACGCCTTGGCCACGCGGACCTGCCGTGTCGAGCGCGAGGGGCAACGACAGGTTGGAAATGGGTGTAGGTGTGGGTGTGGGAGGGAAAAGCGGAAGCTGTCGAAGCTACCCTGGAGCTTCCTCTCTCGACAGGGGGGGAGCTGTGCGGGGTAGGTGTACTCAACCTTAAAGGGGAGGAGGTGAGGAAGAGGAGCTCAGAAGTTTGTGGGCAATGCGGTTACGGTTGTATTAGCCGTTGGAAACCGCTCGCTGACTAAGGTGAGTTGTACTCTCCCATCGTCCCCCCACGTCTGTACTATTTACCCTGTTCATTGTTACTCCGTAATCCGTACAAGTTTGGGCAAGAAGGAGGTGACCGGGCTTACACAGTGAGATCGCGTTAGATCACTATTCATCATGTGCCTAGGCCCCCGGCTTCGAATTTAATGACAGATTTTGCTGGGAGGAAGCCTAACTCGATACCTGCCTGGCAACAGAACGACCATGGACGGCACAAACCAGAGAGGATACCCCCCACACTAACGGGATAGGCGGCATCCACGACTAGACACCCTCCCACCCAGGTGAGATGGCAGATGGAGTCTTACATGGGATGGGACAAGAAGGAGGTGACGAGCGCAAGGTAAAGGAGAGTGATAGCTACGGTTTATGCTTATCGCTCACATAGTCCTCGCGAGCTTCGAAGCTGCGGTCTTATCCTCTTCTTTCTTCTTCTCCCTCTCCCGCCTTCTCCTCCTCCTCCTCCGCAACATGCAAGCGCCCCGGCAAGTCTCCCACGTGCGCTGACAACGGCGCCGGGTTCGAAAAGTACCAGGGGGCTTGCGGGATCCTTGTCTACTCTGAATCCTCTAGAAGCGTGGAAGCCTACTCCGTACTTCATACATCCTGTGCGTATAGTAGATAACCCATGCTGTCGTCCATAGCTTGGGTTCCATCGCGTGGTTTAGCCAGTTGAACACCAAGAAATTGTTGAGAGCTTCCCGGTGTGATTCAGTCAACATTGGCACCTCTTGGGCACTGAGGCACCAGGTAGGGTTGGAAGAAAAGGTTCAGTAATCACAACGGTAATACTATTCTCTGCCATGTCTGATGGCAGCCCCTGCGTGATTACTTCTTCCTTCCCATCTCCTTTCGGTGCTCCCGTTGATGTTGATCCCCGTCTGTCGAGCCGGCGGGATAGTTCCTATAGTCTCCTGCCTCTTATCCCATCTACCTCCTTGTATATCATATACGGATACACTCCGTATGTTTAGACACAAAATTCAACGGTCCGAAAAGAGCCTCCGTAATTTTGAGCCGCTTCGTCACATTTCCACTTGACATTGACCACCCGTTCGTGATATCTACTTCCCGTTTCTCGTAGGATGAGGCTGGTGGGTGAGTTTGTCTCATCATCTCCCACACCTACGGATACTACCTACCTCCCACCAACGCGAGAGCCACGAACACCGAATAGAAACAAACAAGTCCTATCCGGGGGCTAGACAAGACATATGCCTGCCTGCCTGCCCGCCTGCCTGCCTGCCAGCATACCTACCTACCTGCATAGAAGTACGGGGCATACATTCCTACCTACGGCCTACATATTTCGCCTTTCGCCTATCTTCTATATGCACCTCTCTTCGCCCGCCCAACCAAACAATCATACTGCAAGTCGCCCAAAACCACCAAGACACAAAAGTCTAGACTCTAGAACCCCCCCGTCCCCGGTTCTCACCAACACGCCGGTGCCGTCCGTCGCACAGCATGTACTCTACATGACAGACATGCACAAAACGCCAAATCAGACAGCTCCAGCGACCGCCTATTCCCTCCTCCCCCGCAAAATGCACGGCACGGCGTATGGACCTCCGATCGTGCAGTTTTTCCAGTCCTTTTCTCTCGGTGTGTCAGTGCATGTATGCTTGTACTGTACGTGTGGTAGGTAAGGAAGCACCAGTGCCGGGCCACCTTGTCGTTCATCCCCGTCACATATCCGTCATGCCTACCACGATTTGCCAACACCTAACCGCCTCCCATGAGAGTCCTAAAATATTCATGTCCCATGTCCGTCTTACAGAGCATTAGAGTGTCAGAAAACCCAAATACCAGGCCAGCCCTCGAGACGAGGGTAAGATATGGGAAAACCAGCGGGGTCGGATACGGGAATTCAGAATAGGGGAGACCCGGCGATACGAGAGATTGGATAACTGTCGGCGGTCCGTCCGGTGACCCTGTGCTGCGGGCTCCGTAACACTGCATGCCGTAGTGGTGGAAGACCTCGATCGGTGCCGACGAATGAGCCTCATCGAATATGCTGACCGGTGTAAAACTGCCTAGATTAGTCGCCCTTCACATGTCACTTGCATTGAGAGGGTCAGTTTCCCTCTTCGATTCTTTGAGTTCTTGTGTCACGGTTCGTTTGACTATTATCAATTTGTTGGCCTATCAACAATTGACCTTCTATGTCCCCGTAGCAAAAACGCCAATCAGTCCAGTGAAAATGCAAACTTTTGACCCTTCTCCTCCTTTGCTTCTCCAATCCAATTCAAGTTGAGGGCAAGTCGCGACTTATGTAACGGTGTAACCGCCGTCAACGCGGAGGTCCGCACCCGTAACGTAGAGAGAGGCATCAGACAGCAGGAAAGTGACGGGCCCCATCAGGTCCTTGGGCTGTCCCATCTTGCCCTGGGGAATCAGGGAAGTCCACTTCTGCTTGAGGTCTGGGTTGTCGTCGAGAATCTTCTCAGTTCTGCACATGTGCGTTAGTATTGACTGCCGGGAAACAAAGAGGTGCGTTATTAGACTTACAAGGCCGTGAGCATGTAGCCAGGAGAGATACAGTTAACGCGAATGCCCGCGCCAGCCCACTCGACAGCCAAGGAAGCAGCCAAGTGACGGACACCAGCCTTTGCGGCATTGTAAGGTCTGTTTAAATATATGTTAGCCAACCCGACACCTGTAAGAAGAGACAAGATTCGATGGAGCTTACGCCTGAGGCTGCGGGATGTTGACAATGGAGCCAGACATGCTGCCGATGAAGACCATGCTTCCGGGAGACTTGCGCTCCATAAGGTGCTTAGCAACGCCGATGGCGAAGAGGTATGTGCCGTCAACGTTGACGCCCCAGAGCTTGCGCATGCGCTCAATGGGGTAGTTGATTGCATCAAAGTTCTCAGTGAAGCCGGCCGACGTGACGAGGTTGTCAATCTTGCCGTGAGCAGCGAGGATCTCGGCGATACAGGCGTCGACAGAGGCGGGGTCTGAAACGTCTGCGTGGTGCGCAGTCACCTTGGGAACTCTATTGTACGTTATTTGACAATCAATTCCTCCCGAGATCAATTGGGTCGTCTGGGCACATACCTCTTGGCCTCTGGGTTCTCTCTCTTGAATGCCTCAAGCAAGTTCTTGGCTTGAAGCTCAGCCTCCTCCTCTATTCTAGTATCAGCACATTGTTCTCAAAGGAAGATGAAGCTTGCGGGCAGTCGGGATCCAAAACTCACTGTTCAAGTCGACAATGGCAAGGTCGCTACCGGAGTAGACCATGCCTTGGCCCATAACCAAGCCAAGACCGCGCGCGCCGCCAGTGACGACGCCAGTGTGGCCATCGAGAGAGAAGGAAGCAAGCGTGGGCTTGCCGATGCCACCGCCGTGGCCGCGGACCGGCTGACTGCTAGGCAGCTGGTCGTCCTCGGGGTACTCGACAGTGACATCGGGGTCGGTTCTCGAGTACTGGCCCGGGTGAGGCTTCTCTCTGACATTGGGACTTCCGCTGATGGATCTGGACTGTTGCTGCTGTTTGGGGCTAGTGGCTGCAATGCTAGCTTGAGCTGCAGAGGCGGAAGACTGAGAGGACTTGCCGCGGACCTGAGTGTGTCTCGCGATGGGACGAATGGTCCGCGCCAGTCGGGCGCTAAGGGGACGGAGCATTGTGAGTGTCTATGGGCGTGAAAGTGTCAGACGCGGTGTTGATGTGTTTGTGAATATGGACGTCTGAAAAGATTCGAAAGTCAAAGTCAAAGTCGATTCGAGGTTTTCCTTTTGAGCAAGGCAAAGTGTAAAAGCCAAACGACAATGGCGTTTGTTTCGGTTTTGGAGAACCGTTGGCTTTTGCAATTGACTTCAGCCGGATGATGTCACGGAACTAGTTTTTGTTGGGCGGCGACCTGTTTCGAGCAGGTGAAGCTAGCTGTCTCTGGCAGATGCGGAGTTGACGATCAAATCTGGCAGAGGACTGGCGGAATTCGAGGCGCCCAAGTTTGGGCAAAAGCAACGACGAGAGGAGCTATGGTGGGGTAGATGACGTGGGACGAGCGGATGGGTGGTGGTTGACTCTTGATCGTCTGGCTGTAAGTCTGAATCGGGAAGTACGTCTCGTAATTCGGGGTCGTTTGGACGTGGTTTGTTTGTTGTATGTGAGAAGTGTGGGTGTGAGGGAGGAAGACAGTCGCGGGTGGGAGGATTTGGCAGAAGGGGAAGAGCTTGGAACCTTGGAGAAAGTGCGGGAGGGAAGGAAGGGAGTTCCCGTTTATGAGGGTTGGAGCTTCCATTGGGAATGAAGGAACGACGGGACGGAAGGGAAGGAGGTTTAGGTAAGACACCCGTTGACACCGGCAAGTAGGGAAGGAAGGATCGTGGCGTGAGTTAATCAAGTGGTCAATTGGTTTACTTGGTTCACTTGGCAAGGGCAAACAAGGATTGGATGTGGAAGGAACCATGCAACTTGGTGGCAGCCAAAAAGAGAAAATGGCAAAAAGTTCACGATACTTTGGTCGTGTGGACGCGTCTCGCAGCTTCCCGGTCCAAAACCACGTCCCAACCGGTCAGGTCCCAAGTCGCAGGTTCCAGGCGCCGCATGTCGCAGGTCGTAGCCCGTCCGCCGCTCTCGCACTGCCTCGCGGGGAGTTGCCCCGGAACTAGGGCTGGACTCGTGGAGCCCGAGCGGACACTCATGGGCCATAAGAAGGATCGCTCCATGCCACCCACCGCCCACCGCCCACACTAGAACCACAACCCCGGGGCGGGGGTGGGCCATTTGCCCCCAAATCGATGGAAGGCCCTCTTCTGTCTCCTCCATCCCGGCATGCCCGGCAGCCGGCTATCAGGCCGAACGAATGATTCACTGTTTTTTGTTGGCCTCTACAACTACCACAGACACTGGACGTTGCGATACATTCGATGATGGCTGTCTTAGGTGACATGGGTTCATGTGGTTTTTAGTTTAGATTCCTAGATCAGACAGTTTCGACAGTGTAGATGCTGTAAGTGACTGACCTTGTCCATGAATATGCAATTTGTAGGAAGTCCTTATTAAGGGGACCATAGGCGCTGAAACTGGAGAGCCACCACCAACGAGCAGAACATGAGAGAAACAAAACGGAAACCACTTAAACCCTTGTCAAGGCCTCCATGTCTCCTGCTCATCATTCCGAGCTCCCCGTGTCCCTCGTGTCGCGAAAAGGACCCTGTGGGGTCAGGGAAAGAAACAACGAGAAATATTGACGGAGCTGGCGACCCAACCTTGCCAACGTACTGTGAGAAGCTCCAACTTTTTTTCTCCTCAAGAAACTCCCGGCGGTTTTGGGGTCCTTTGGGGCAAAACATTGGGCATCTCTCGAACGCCATTCTCCACATTTCACTCCAATTTTCCCTGCACGGGATGAGATTCTAGAATGCCCATGAAATTAGGGGTGCCATGGGTCTGGCCACCGGTGTTCATCCTCACAGACACATACCTCAGACCTCCGACGCAGACCAGACAGAAAATTACTGACCTCCGGTTCGGAGACCGCCTCGATCATGCATCCTGCCACACCGTCACGCTATCACGTTGAATAGGATGGCCATGCTGTTAGCTTGGCCCGTCATTTCGTTTACCCGCTTTGTTTCTTCTCATTCTTTGCAGAACACGAGGTCTTTGGCATCGAGGCCGACTGATTACTGGTTTCTAAGGATATCCTACCACCCACTGGCCACCGGCCTTGACCCTGACCCCCAAACACAACTCTCTGTCTCCTACCTCGCAATTTCTGAGCCATCTCAATGGGCTGGCGCCGGACTGCCGAAATCGGCCCTCCGCTTACACCTGCCGTCTGGGTTTTGACTCAACTTCTGAGAGACCCATGAAAAGTCAATGGCACTCTTCATTCTGACGATATCAGATGTAGCGTACATGACCCCTAATGATGTTCGTTCCCCCCACTGCTCTTGTTCGAATGCGTGAACGAAAAAACTCCAAGCATCGTCAGCTATTATGCTTCCGGCCAATGCCAAGTATAACAGGAACCACCGCGAGTCCCCTCCACCCTGCCTGAGAAGCAGAAAGAATGTCGTCACCTTTGACTGGAGCAAGTCTCTGATAGATAAGTCCAACAAAGTGAGACGTCCAGGCTCGCTCCCAGGCTTATGCAAGCGGTTCGAGGCCCTCGAAATGATGCCTTCACCCATCTTAGACAGACGCTCGCAGCTTCCCCTAACCACAACCTCGTCAAGCTTCTCGTGGTCAATCAGCTTTTCGAATGTCATTCTGATGATCAATCTTGGAATATTAATGACTATAGTTCGTCCCGCTTACATTTTGAAGCCTTGGCCGTCAATGGCTCCTGATGAGGGGCTGATACTATGCCGCCACCTTTCTTGAGTACAGATAACACTCTGGAGTTACCTTGACTTACAGCAAGGTTACAGGCCGTCAGGGACATATCGGAGGAAAGATACGGGAATTGACACCAGCGGCAGTCCGTGTCTTTCTTGGTGACCGCATTGACTTGGGCGTCATGAGCAAGCAAAATATCCGCCAATTCTACTGCCCACAAACAGTCTTTGCCCAGCGCGGCAACAAAATGCAGAGCTGTTGATCCGCATGAACAAGCCTCGTTGACGTTGGCGCCGTCACGGAGGAATCTCTGCACAATGCGGACAGGGCATCCTACAATGTCAAGATACCGCACAGCAAAGTAGATGACATTGAGAAAAATCTCGCCTTCGCTCCTCTTTTCGCACTAAACTTTGCCGGGAGACGGCAGGACGCGACGACAAAGCTTCTTCAACTTTGCCTGATTCGAAACCCAGCTGAGCGCCTTGGACAACATGTTCCCGAGTTCGATATTGGTGTCTTCGCTGTCCATGGTTTCCAAGACCATCGCCACGAACTCTTCATTTGGAGCTGCACAAATCAAGTGTCGTCGGGTCGCTCACCAGGATACTGCGGTGTGTAGATGAAACCAGGATTCGTAACCCGCTGCTTGCTACCTGTACATTGGTTCAAGTTCAAGTAATGAAATCCTCGAACGCCTCCAATACCACCGCTGAGAATGATAAACTTTGAGATATTGGGAGACCCACGACAACTCCCAGAGGGTCTTTCAAGAAGTGCCTGAAGCTTTCCGACAAGCCATTTCCTATCGCCTTCGGGGCACTCGTCAAGCCCATCAAGCATGCAGTAAAACGGGCCCAGGTCGGGACCGTTCAATACAAGAGCGGAGATATGCCACAGAGTACCGAGTGAGCCCAACGTGTACTCGATTCTCTCTCTGGGTACTAAGAATTTGGTAGCATGTTTGGCGAGAACCGGGTTCGTTGCCAAAATCTCGTGTAGCCAGGTTCGTAGGATCAATGTCGCTTTGTTCCTTCTCGGGTCGTGACGATTGCAAAAGTGGAAGACGAGAGTTCCGGATGAGCGTTGAGTGAGATACTTGAGCTCTTCGATGGGGAAGATGGAGAGCATCGTCTTCCCCATGCCGGGGGCACTGGAAATACGTAACATTACCGACTTTCCAGACTCCAGCCACGTTCGGCATTTGTCCTCAGATCGGATCCACTGGCAGTTTCCCTCAGCTATGCCTCCTGTTGAGTCGATGATATCTTGCATGTCGACATCCAAATTCGTGATGAAAAGGGCGTCGACGCATTTTCTCATTTCATCTTTAGCAAGGTCGCCTATTTGAGAGATGTCAGCCACATTGTCAACCTAAGATGACATGATTGCTTCCTACAATTGTAATTAAGCCATGCGCGGCATACATGTCACCAATGGATACCGACATGCTGGCCCTTGGCGGCGGGGGTGGTAGTGATGAGGGTCAATATGACAGTAGCCGAGTCAAGATGAGGCGAAAAGAGAAGTTGCGGCTCCTTTATGACAAGAGCTGCTTGAAAAGCTTTGAAAAATCGAGGAGAAAGATGGGTGAAGGTGAAAATGAAGGATCCTATGGCGAGAACACCGGGGTCTGCAGACAGGCGTCCGGTTTACCCTATGGCAGTTATGCGTGGGGTGTCCAAAGACCGGTGAAGGCATGTCTGGTAAGCCAGGCCGCATCAAGGTATCTTTTCCTAGACTAAAGAATAACTCCTAACTCTTTGTCATGGTCGAGAATCGAGACATCTACCTGCCTGCTGGGAGTCCGTGATACAAAAGGGGATGGCATTGCTGCCTTCTCGAAACCCAATCCTTCACTTCTACATCTCCACATCCCTCTCTTCATCTGCAGACACCATCAGACACTTCAACTGAAAAGATGGCTGAAGTACTCGAAACCACAAGTGCCGTAGTTGCCTTGGCAGTAACAGCTTTGCAAGGCATCAGAGGAGTAAAGGAGAAAATTGCCAACACCGAACGAGCCCCAGAGATGATTACCAACATCAAAAAGGAACTCCAAGATATCGAGTGTTTGATGAGGCACCTCAACATCTCGTTCCTATCAAACGAGACCGAGGTGATATCCGTCGCCGAAAATACCAAAGTGCAATCCGCACTCAAGGCCAGCAGCGCTTCGTCTTTAGCCTTGGACAACGAGGTCGGCAAGCTTCTCAAAAGCTCAAATGACGGACGGGTTCATTGGGTGGACAGAACCAAGATCGGACTATTCGGAAAAGACAAGCTCCAGGTTTTCGTGGACGAGCTCAGGATTTGCAAGCAGACTTTCAACTTGATTTTGACCGGCGCCAACTTGTGAGTACTGTTGTCAAGTCAGTTTCGACGGTGAATCTGATTTTTCCCTCTTACAGTTTGGCATCTCTCGAGCAATTCAAACAGCTTCAGACGATCATGAAGCGACGTGAGACCAATGCCGACGATCCTTACTCCGCAGCCAAGCTTCAGAAGTCGAATGATTTGATCAGAGGCTACGAGGAGTTTCAAGCATCTCTATTTGTACAGTTCAACGAGAGACGAAGCAAGCTGACAGTGGGCAAAGTCACGGTCTTGGAGTCGCAGGCCGTCATCGGCATCCACGGCGCGGACGGGACAGACGGAGAGCTGGACGTCCAGCTCGGTAGTGTGGAGGGCCAAGGATCCAACATGCTGGTGGGATATTCTAGGGGCATTGACCTGAACGCCGCCTTCTTTAAGAAAGATACTTAGGTACTTCCTGATTCTAGAATCCACGGAGCCATGTTAGAGTAATATGACAGGGGAAAATCATATGGAGAACATCGGTTGCAAAACAAGCATCGTTTGGACTGACAACTTGTTATCTTCGGGCTCTCTGTGGTGGTAACCTAATAGAAGAAATTTAACCACTGGAATTCTACATGCTTTTGCGGCGACTTCAAAGGCCCCGTCTTGATTCTTTACTTCTGAGATCCCAAAATGGCTCGCTCGTTATTTTTTGCCACATACATGCTACTTGTAGACTAATCATGCCAGGTGACCATATTCCTTATTAAAAGCCCTTCCAATAACCATTCTACGGATTTCCGAAGTTCCAGCACCAATCTCATACAATTTCGCACTGATGATAGTTAGTACAGAAAAGCTCGGAGGGACATCACATTGATCACTTACTCTCTCAACAGTCTCGAAGCTGGCATTTCCTCGACGTATCCCATTCCACCGAGGAGCTGGATGCTGTCCAGGGTGCACTCTGTCGCCCTCTCGGCAGCATACAAGATGGCACCGGCGCAGTCCTGTGTCTTGATCAACCCCTCCTCGTCGACAGCCTTAGCCGTGGCATATGTGTATGCACGAGAAGCCTGGAGTTTGGTGTACATATCTGCCAGCTTGCCCTGGATGAACTGGTTCTGAGCGATGGGGATGCCAAACTGCTTGCGCTGGTGGGTGAAGGGGAGAGCGACGTCCAGCGCGGCCTGCATGATACCAAGAGGTCCAGCGCTGAGAACGAGACGCTCAAGGTCCAGGCCCTCCATCAGGACTCTGACACCGCCATTGATCTTGCCGAGGATGTTCTCCTTGGGCACAAAGACGGAGTCGAAATTGAGCTCGCCAGTGTTGCTTCCGCGCATACCCATCTTGTCGAGCTTCCTTGCGCAGCTAAAGCCCTTGGTCTTCGTCTCGACAAGGAACGCCGTGACACCCTTGGAACCCTTCTCGGGCTCCGTCTTTGCGTAAACGACGATGACGTCGGCGTCGGGACCGTTGGTGATCCACATTTTGGAGCCATTCAGAACGTAGCCGCCATCAACGGCCGTCGCCGTCGTCCTCATGCTCACGACATCGCTACCAGCCCCAGACTCGGACATTGCGAGCGCGCCGACGCTTGTGCCGGCAATCAAACCGGGGAGATACTTCTGCTTCTGCTCCGGAGAACCATTGAGCTGAAGCTGGTTGACGCAAAGTTGAGAATGGGCGGCGTAGCTAAGACCAATTGAGCCAGATGCACGTGAGATCTCTTCCATGACAACGCAATGCGCCTGGTAACCCAGGGCCAGGCCACCGACGTCTTCATCGGCAGTCATGCCTAGGAAACCAGCCTCGCCCAGCTTTTGCCACATTTCGTTGGGGAAGGCATTGCTCTTGTCCGTGTTCGCGGCGACTTCTTCTGTGATCTCGCGCCTTGTGAACTCCTGCACACGCTCGCGCAGCTCGGTAAGGTCGGCTTGTGACGGTGCTTCGAATCCCTTGGGATGCTTAGAGGAGTGGTGTCGGGTCTGGAGGGTGGGGGCGGCGAGGGGTCGCAATTGACGCGCTGGCCGTGCCAACGACCTGAATGCTCTAACACTTGACATGGCTGTAGATTTTGCGACGAAATTGAGAAGTAAATGAGTTGAGAAGAGAGAGAATGAAGAACAACAACTTCTCCTATGATTGATGATCCAAGTTACCTTAGCTTGACGCCGAGCTGGAGGTCCAACCGGGACCAGAAGGTGCTCGGCTATGGGCGGCTTCCAGCGGGCCGAGGTGAGCGATTGGACGTCACTGGAATGGTATCCCGTCAGCAAGCGAGCGGCCCTCGAACCTCTCCTTCCCGTCTTCAAGGGCTTCGTCGGCACATGCAGTGCTCCTCCTTCATACTCTCGAACTGCCGCAACCTTGGGATCATCCTTTGCAAACGTCCAAAATATGTCTTTCTCACGGCCATCGAGAGATTTGCTGCTTCTGTCGCGTCAATTGACCCGGCCGGGGTTCAGGGCACCCCGCCTCCCGCGATCCGCCCGTACCGTTGCGACCTTCACGCCGCCGCACCAGGCGAGCGCCATCTCCCGAATCCAGACCAATGTCGATCCGACATCCGAGGAGTACAAGGAGAACGAGAAGCACATGGGGGATGTGATGAAGAAGATGCAGGACTTGACCCGGAAGGTGCACCTGGGTGGCTCAGCAAAGGCGAGGGAAAAGCACCTGGCGAGGAAGAAGATGCTGCCGCGCGACCGAGTTACTGCATTGATTGACCCTGGCACGACGTTCTTGGAGCTGTCGCCGCTGGCCGCCCATGAGCTTTACCCCGAGGCTGATGTTCCCGCGGGAGGCATCATAACAGGTGTTGGTGTCGTCGAGGGCGTAACGTGTGTGATCGTGGCCAACGACAGTACAGTAAAGGGCGGAACGTACTATCCAATTACCGTCAAGAAGCATCTGAGAGCACAAGCCGTGGCCCAGGAGAACAAGCTGCCGTAGGAAACCCATTATCTACCCTCCTCGGCTAATGATCACTGATACTGATAATGGCACAGTTGTATCTACATGGTTGACAGCGGTGGTGCTAACCTACCACACCAGGCGGACGTGTTTCCGGATCGCGACCACTTTGGACGCATCTTCTACAATCAAGCAAGGATGAGCTCCATGGGGATTCCCCAGATTTCAGTCGTAATGGGTCCGTGCACTGCGGGTGGTGCTTATGTGCCGGCAATGAGTGACGAGAGCATCATTGTCGAGAACCAGGGCCATATCTTCCTCGCTGGTCCGCCACTTGTCAAAGCTGCCACTGGCGAGGTGATTAGTGCGGAGGAGCTGGGAGGCGGCAAGATGCACTCATCTGTTTCAGGAGTGACGGATTATCTGGCAGTCGACGATGCTCATGCTATTACACTTGCAAGGCGGAGCATCAGCAACTTGAACTGGCCTACAAAATCACCTTCAACAGCGGCGCCCGTGAAGGACTACGCCGAGCCTCTATACTCGCCGGACGAGCTTTTGGGTATCGCCAGCACCAACCTCCGGAAGCCCCTGCCTATCAAGGAGGTCATTGCTCGCATTGTCGACGGATCCGAATTCTCCGAGTTCAAGCGTGACTTCGGTTCAACCCTGGTCACCGGATTTGCCCATATCCATGGTTACAAGGTTGGTATTGTGGCCAACGATGGTATCTTGTTTGCCGAATCCTCTGTGAAGGGCGCACACTTCATTGAACTCTGTGCTCAACGAGGCATCCCGCTAGTCTTCCTCCAGAACATATCCGGCTTCATGGTTGGCTCCGCCGCCGAGCGTGGTGGCATCGCCAAGCACGGCGCGAAGCTTGTTACTGCAGTTGCATGCGCCGATGTTCCCAAGTTTACCGTTGTTGTCGGAGGCAGCTATGGTGCCGGCAACTACGGAATGTGCGGTCGAGCTTACAGCCCCCGTTTCTTGTGGATGTGGCCGAACTCACGCATTGGTGTCATGGGCGGTGAGCAGCTTGCTGCTGTTATGGAGACTGTTGGCAAGGCCGATCCCGAACTAAAGGAGAGGATAGAACGGGAAAGCGACGCAACATACTCGTCAGCCAGATTATGGGTCAGTCATTGCGGTTCACACGCCACACAAATTTTGCTAACCATGCTCATAGGACGACGGCATTATCCCTCCCCAGCACACCCGTCAATATTTGGGCCTAGGCCTGAGAGCAGCAATGTCAGGCCGAAATGAAGTCAAGGCCGGTGATACCAAGTTTGGTGTGTTCCGAATGTAAAGAGCGTAGATTTTGGTCATTTAGAAACGGGAGCGCAAAACAAGCTATTTACTATTATTGCCTTCTGAACTTCGACACCTCTCCGTACAGTGTCTCCTAAGCTTGGCGATATAATAGGTAATCGGTAGTGAGTGCTAATTCTTTATCATTTATCCGCTCTGTGGCAAGAATGTATGATGACTGATGACCGATTGCCGATCCAAAGACCACAAACGAGCCATCAGCCCCCATATTACTTGCAATAGCTTACGTTTTATTAAGTGCACCTAGCTGGTTGACGAGGTTCTAGGTTCATTCGGGTGCCTTGCATGCATTCCCGCCGTTGCACTCAACGGCGTAGTGGAGAACTTTATTCGGGGCCCTGAAGATGGCAGTTTGGCAGACGATGAAATTTCCCACTCATATTCGCAAAACTCGCATCTTTCACGAAAGTAAACTCCCCGGCCGGAGCAGACTGCCAAACAAAGACAGACACGGCAGCATACGGGGAAGGTTTCTGCAACAGATTTGGAAGGAGCCAATGGCACGGAGCTCTCTCCGGAGACCCACCGGCCAAACCCTTGCCGAACGCCGGCGGTGAAAGCCCCGGACGTGTTGCACAACCAGCCTTAGGTTCTTCCCCTTTCCGTTGTCTCTTCAACCCATCACTCACATATCCCCATGTCTACGCATTTCATGACACCTCTCCACAACTCTTGCAGATCAATCGTCAGCAAAAACAAACGTGGCCACAGCTACGGCCGTCCACGTGCTCATATTCGTGTGACGTTTATACTGGGTCTCTGGTGTTCTACACGAGACGTCCTGATCACTTTTTCTTCAAGAATTGTTCATCGCTTATTCTACTGGCTTCGAGAAGCACGAAAGTACCCGACATAACCTGATAGGGTCTGACTGAGGTTGACAGTATGGGATAGATGGTGTTGTGGTGACACGCGACTAAACCTGCCTGAGAAAGAAACAGAGCCCGTCTCCGGCCACGGCAGCAAGGAGCCGATCTCATTCGCTTGTTAGTTTCAAGCCGAATATCTCACCACCCGGTCAGAGATGATTGATCATATTTCCTTCCGTTTCTTCTTACCCACGTGGTGTGCATCGTGCCTCTCTTATTTCCAAATAAGGCACCCTTCACTTTTACCTTCTCTCCCAGGGCAGACCGCGATTTGTGGGCAACCCATGCAGTACACTCACACCCCAGTCTCACCGATCGCTAACCCATGCCTCACCGGTATGCGCTCACCGGGCTAGGCCCTGCAGTTTGTTCTTTTCAACCTTTTTTTTATTGCTGTTGTCTTTAGGGCTACTAGTACGGATATGGGACCCGGATAGTGGGGTGAGTGTCTTGATGCCGGCTGCGGCGGGCGCAGCAGGTTTGCCTTTTTGGCACCCTTTCGAAGGCGGTCTCTTTTTCCTCTCTGTCAATTTCTCTCTCTCAAGCCTTGGCTCGAGGATGGCGATGTGCTACTGCATGAAACAGAACCGGTCAGTGACAGATGTTGGATGGTGCCCGGAGGCTTGGAAGAGATGTCAACGCCGAGAGGCCTGATGGAGGCAGACCGGTGGCTCGAGTGAGCGTTCTTGCCAGCAGGCTTTCGCGATACGATTCACCGCCATAAGATCAAGGGCGGGTATATGAAGAGGGAAGCCCTAGTCGGCGAATTGGCTTGATCTGATTTCGCCGACCCAGACTAAAGGCAGTTGCCGAGGAGAGTTCTTTGTTCTAGAAACAAGCCATCCCCAAACAAGACAACCTCATCCCTCTCTGGGCCGAGGATACACATCATCAACTACCTTCATTCTTCATCTTCTTACTTTCAATTTGTCTGTCACTTTAGCTCAAATCATCTGAAAATTCCCCATAGCCTTTTCATCACCACAAGTCGAGACAAAATGGCACCCTCTGCGTTACTGGAACAGCCCCAGATGTACGCATCAACTATCTCGGATATGGCACGCGGCCGCAAGTTCTACCCTTCCAACAAGTTCATCATCAGCTGCGGCACCGTCACAATCGACATGCGGGCACGGCGCGTACTCCTCATCTACAACAAGAGACACGCAATCTACCAGATGCCCAAGGGACGGAAAGATATCGGCGAAGACCTCCTCGCAGCGGCGCTACGCGAGACCCGCGAGGAGACGGGAGTCACGGTCAAGCCCATTACCTTGAGACTCAGCACGAGAGCGACACCTGCGGGTGGTCCCTCTGGTGCCCCGGAAGTGTCCGAGGAGATCACCGATACGGAACCGATTGCCGTGTGTCACTACCCAGACCCGGCCACCGGAGCTATGAAGATGGTGTTTTACTTTGTTGCGGAAGGAAACTGTAAACTTGGGCCGGAGGGTTGGACGGGAGAGGACAGGGTCAAGTTTGATGTCAGCTGGGTTGATGTCGATGAAGCTGCGGACAAGTTGGCTTTCAAGGAGGATGGCATGGTCGTCACCAAGGCCCTGGAGGATTTGAGAAAATCGGGGTATGATATCTGATTTCTTGGGGTGCTTTGTGTTTCTATTGGGTCGGAAAAGTTGGGCGTTGGCCACTGGAAAACGGGAGGCATTGACGATTTGCGTGGGGTAATTTGACTTGAGCACAACCACGGCGGCATCTGGTGTTGGTATTTGTCGGGATCCTCTCCTTTTTTGGGCCGGAAAACATCTGGATGCAAAGAATTTTGGACCAAATTGTTTACAGGAAGCAGTTTCCAATCGCAGTCTGTTTGTCTCGGTCACTTTGATGAATCTCAGTAGACCATTGAGCGCCATGAGAGCTACCAACCCGATGGCTCGAGGACCACCCCGAGGACCTTCTGACTCGTTGTCAACGAAGAAAAAAAAGTCTTAGTGGAAGAAAAGAGAAAACATGAGGAAACGGAACTTCGGCCGCGGACCAACTCCCGAACATAGCGGGAGTCTGACAGCTTGGCGGTGACAGGGGCTCCCCATCCATCCCGGATGCATTATCCAAGTCTCCCCGGCGACATAATTGCCCCCAAATTGCGATCGATTCCTTGGAAGAAAGTTCAATCTGACAAACCAGAACGCTGGGTCTTGCAGGACGGGCTGGACGGCGGTGGATGCAAGGCTGCGGCGGTCCAGCCCACCGCTGCCTGCGGCCGCTTCCCTGCCATTAAGACATCTGATGGAATAGAGACGTGCGGGAGAAAATGGCTGAGAACTGCCCAGTCTTATTGCATCCAATTTCGATTGATGATTGGTTTGCGTTCTATTCACCGCGTGTATGTCTCGTCGTGCCGTCCCTTGGCGTCTCTCATTTTCCATGAGTACGATTCATTCACCGCGATGAAATCGAGGAAAGACGAAAGGAATAGAGACAACATTGTTGGCCGAGAAAGATTAATTACCCAGCCGCATGAATCTTTTCTTTTGTGAGTCTTTCCTGACTAGCAAGCGCAATCGATGTCTCGGGTCGACCGCGACTGCCGAAACCAGACGGCCGAACTCGGGACCGGCGCCGGCAACCATCAACTTAGTGGGGCCGATCAGATCCACCACTGGCGGGGTCGACCTCATTGCCGAATGGAAGCAAGTGGTGACATCACCCCCACGAAGCCCCTCCCGAGTCCCAAGCTCCAGAGGGGACCCTCATTGCTACCCCTCCATGGAGACAGTCGAGGACCGCGGCTCCCCCCCCCTCTCTTGCCAATCGCGAACAATGAAATCGTCCAAACAGAAGGGGCGTAAAAAGCTTCTGTTAGCTTCTTCTGTACTGTAAACGTCAGCGAAACGGAGCAGCTCTCGACCCCGCCAAACGCAGCTTAATCCGTCATTGACTCTCCACTTCAAGGAGCCCGCACCGCAGCGTATTACCTCCACTTGACGTTTGAAGCATAATAAATCCGATGTCTTCCCACACTGCTAAGGCCGCGTGCTCCGCTTCCCAAGCTTTATCTAGATCGTCGTCCCTGATCCCCAAACAACCTCACTCCCTCACCCCTGCGATAGCTTCGCGATCAATAATCACAACAACTACAAAGAGCCTTGCGACTTGCTGCAGCTCAATCAACAAAACAACACCCCTCCCTCAGCAAGTTCACAAGCCGTTTTCGACGCAAGCCGCCAAGATGTCGACTATGCCCGCTCAGCACGGTCACAGCGAGGGATGCTGCAACATTCCTCCTGTCGTCTCTAAGGGCTACGATGCCAAGGGCAGCTACGAAGAGATTGGCGGGAAGAAGACCTGTAAGTCAATTTCCAGGCCTGGAGAGCCAATGCGTGACAAAGCTAACTCATTCGCTACAACAGACGTCACCGGTCCCACCGACGCAAAGAAGGCCATCGTCGTCACCTTTGATATCTTTGGATTCTTCCCCCAGACGCTCCAGGGAGCCGACATCCTGGCCACCAGCGGCGCCGAGAAGTACCGCGTCTTCATCCCGGACTGGTTCGCCGGCGAGCCCTGCCCCATCGAGTGGTTCCCCCCCAACACCGAAGAGAAGCAGAAGAACCTCGGCGGCTTCTTCCAGAAGTTCCCGCCTCCCAAGATTGCCGAGCAGACCCCCGACTACGTCAAGGCTATTCAGTCAAAGTACTCGTCCATTGAGTCCTTTGCCACCATTGGCGTAAGTCTCTTGTTTCTGGAGATAATTGGAGAACAAGAACTGACAAAATCGCAGTACTGCTGGGGCGGCAAGGTCGTCTCTCTCGTGGCCTCTGGTGACAAGAACCCCTTCAAGGTCGCTGCCGAGATCCACCCCGCCATGGTCGAGCCCGAGGACGCTAAGGGCATCAAGATCCCCCTTATTATGCTCGCTTCCCAGGATGAGCCCGAGGAGGACGTCAAGAAGTTCGAGGCAAACCTTAACGTAACTAAGCACGTTGAGACTTTTAAGGACCAGATCCATGGATGGATGGCCGCTCGGTCTGACTTGGAGGATTCCAGAGTCAAGGAGGAGTACACTCGTGGCTACAAGACAGTCCTTGAATTCTTTGAGAAAAACTTCTAAGATCACATGCAGATGGTAATAATCACGAATGAATGATGAACTAGGGCAAGGGTACATCTCAGCGTAACATCCATACCAGGTTCACTTTAAACCTGCTACTTGACCGTCTTGTTTGTCTTCGAGTGAGGAGAATGGCCTAAGTTTGTGCTTTAAAATTTGACTTCAAAGAAAAGAGAGCGATGCAGCCTCACAACAGCTGACCTTGGTAATAGGTCCAGGCTCCTGTATCCATTTTGTAGAATTTCCAAGGAGTCTTCGACATAATCTCCACCGTAAGACACTTATTCTGTCCCCAGATTGCGCCATGCTCTTTGAATAACATGAGAGCCAACAGATTCCCCTTCTCGGTCGCATACAGTATGAGACTCTTTCCATCAAATTTCTCATAGATGTTCATATCCTTACGGGTAAATAGATATTAAAAAATTCCAAGTGGACATTGATCGCGTAGTTCAAAGCTGTCAAACAGCCGGCGTATTCTCGGTGACAATGGCCCGGTTTGTCAGGGTCCTGCTTTCGTGGTCTTCGGCTCTAACATCCGCTCCCATGTCTATGAGTAGCTGAAGGACCGGTACAATGTTTTCCGCTACAGAACATGATCCAAGACATTGGAAAAGTATCGGCTCTTGCTCATTCAGCTCGCTCTCAATACAGGCTGAACATCTGATGAGCGCCTACAGAGCCATCCCATTGCCGGCCATGCCAGCCAATGATGCAATAACCTCCTCGTCTACAACCTGAGTGTCAATAGAAGCCTCATAGGCTAAGAGGAGTTTGACTATTGAGTGAAGTCCCAGAACAGCTGGTGCAATGAGATCCTTTCCTATGTTATTCGACATATCGAGGTTAGCCTCCAGGTTCAGCAGCACTCTCAGAGTCTCCGCAAGTCTTCGATCCAAGAGTGAGATCTCACAAGAGGTGAACTTTTCTCCACTGGCAAGGAGTGATAACAACCTATCAAGCATTAAATTCCGCCAAGCAGTACGTAGTCTATTTGCTGCGCCCAGGCCGTTGAAATAACTCGAAATCTCCCGTATCGAACATACGTAACTTGTGTGTGACTGGTAATTCCATTTCCTCAAGGAACCAAGGAGGATAAGAAGACTAGGGGGTACCACTTGGGATCATCATCCTCAACCTCTTGAACGGCTATGAAGTGGAGGACTGGCCTCCAACAGGCCTGTTTCAGGGCTTCGCCATATTTCTAGTATGCTTGCCAGGATTGAGAATCCGACTGGTGGAGTTTTTTCAACCACAGCATTGTTGACTTGTCGATGGGCTTTTGAAGAACGTGGGCCACATCATCCTGCTCAGGCTCAATGCTGAGCCTTCTTTTAGCGCAAAACCTGAGGAGCGCCTCGAAGGCCTCGAAGACAGCTGCGTGCGCCTCGTTTAGAGCCACTTGCATTAACGATCGAAGAGACTGAGATTGATTTTCCTTGGCTGAGAAGCTCCATTGGGCGATGGGAATACAAGCGGGGTGTGTTCGATGGCACCACTGTCAATGTAAAACTTAACAATATCCGGCCGACCTGCAAAGACAGCCCACCACAGTGCGGTTTTACCACTTTCGTCTGCCGAGTAAATTTCATTTTCCGGGAGAGTTTGGGTCGTAAACAGTCGGAGTAGGCCGAAATATGCTGCCACTTGTGTTGAAGTGCCAGGGAGAGACGGCACTCTCTTCAGTTGTTCCAGCACCGAGAGGGATCTCTCGCGCATGGCTTGATTTAGCAGAAATTCAACGACTTTTGTAGGGATAATAGAGCTTTCACGGGCGTGCTGCCCCCAGTAATTAGCCGCATAAGAGAAGAACGGAGCCGAGTCCTGGATATTAATCTTCTTTCCTTGCTGTGCGGAACTGCAAGAGGCAAGTTCTTTCGGGACATGTAAAATATTCTCAATGAGTAGATAGCTTGTGCATGCCGTCGCAAGTCGAGTGTCGATGTCGGGGAACAGTAGGTATCGTTTTCCTTCAAAGTATTCTTGCGTTGTCTGGTGTACAAGTCGCACCTCACCGCTTTGCTCGCTGACGGTGATAAGTCCAGCGCATACGGATACTATGGTTTCAACAGGTGAAATGTTGTCCTGGTCTAGCTCTAGCTCGCCTTCTTCGATGGCAAGAGCATGTTGCAGCTCTGCGACTTTCAAAGGTCTTTTTGCACCAGTAATCCAAGACAGAACATTCAACGCAAGCTCAATATGCTCAGAGGGTTGAGATCGAATCCGACTCATGGCCTCATCGTATACAGCTGAGTAGATATTTCCATCTTCTTTCGTTGAACCAAAAATTCCAACTGCCTTCTTAAGCTCTTTTGGGTTCAGCTTCTTGGACCAAGCATCGATGAGCAGTCTCGCCAACAAAAACCTGCCTATGTTAGAACCACTTTCCTGGAGAGGAATTTTGAGAAGAGACTTAAAACACACATGCCGTTGACTTTCTTCGCGATTGAGTCTCGGATTTCCTGCTGGATATCAAGGTTGCTACGCACAAAGCTCTGCATACGCGTCATACGGCCTGACACGTATCTCAGAACGTCCCCCTCAGTGGCTCGAATCTCTATGGGAACAGACTTCTCAAATTCTACTGCCTGGATGATCTCTGGGATATTCCTGGTAGTTGCAAAGATATTGACTTGAAATCTTTGCTGAAGACGGAATATTTCCGGAAGAAATGCTTGACGAGCGTTTTCATCACACTCATCCAAGGCATCAATGACGATGAACACTCTTTCGTAGCAGGAAGCTATTGTTTGTAGCAGATCAATAGTCTCTTGGTTTGATCTCAAGGTTTTGTGTCTCTGATGCGTATTGTAGAGCGCTTCGAGACTTTGAGGGAAGGGCGAGCGGGATTGCGCCAGCTGCTTCGTCAAGCTGGATAAGAGATCGTGACAAGTTTGATGTTCAGCCTCCTTGAAGTTGCAATAGATGTAGGCTATTCCGATGCTGGGCTGCTCGCGAAATTGGTGAATCAAATAGTCTATAACAACGGAAGTCATTATGGTCTTGCCGGCTCCTGGCATGCCCCTGCATAGCAGAGTCTGGCCTTTGTTAGATATCCATTCGAATTCCCTGGACTCTAGTAGCCAGGATGTAGTGCCTGGATGTCTTGCAGAGAAGTAATCTCGTTGTTGTGATGAATAATTGGATGGGGTCAGCCACTCCAAGATTTCATGTTGATGTTTACTGACTTGCTCTCGGTGTAACCACGCCACTGCTTGTTTTGTGCCTTGTATAGCTCGACTGTGGACCTTCATCAGCTACGGTGATAATCGGGAGCGCAGAGTTGTAAAATGACCTGTCTGACGCGTTTTTAAGGGTGTTCAGAAGCTGAATCTTGACGGAGAGACTAGATTGGATGCCATTGATCACCTTGGGATCGAGCTGGAACCGCTGCCAAAACTGCGACAGCTTCGCTTTGTCCCATTTCTGCTTATCTAATGGCTTGTTGAGTTCCTTGCAAGCATCTAAGATCTGTTTCAATCTCTTGAGGTCCGTGTATGAACCTTCGATGATGTGCCGTAAAATTTGTTGCTCCTTGTCATCGAGATGCTGCTGTGGCTGACGGGCTGCCTCGAGAAGTGGCTCGATGATCTCCACGCTTTTACGGGCTGTCAGTTAAGATTTTCCTCCTTCTTCTTCTTCTTTTTAAGAATATAAGTTAGGAGTCAATGCGGGATCGTACTTCCCGACAAGTGAAACGAACAGCTCAGGCGCCTCAGAGAATCTGTCGTGGCAATGTCTCAATTTGTCAATGACAGCAATGAAATCGCCAATGCCGAACCCGAAACTCATCGTTGACGAAATTATCCGTAGGTTCACATAGACAAATGATATCGAAGCAAAGGAAAAAAGGAGTATCATAAGAGTTCCGAGGGAATTACAGGGAGACACGAGAAATAGATGTCGCCGAAAAAGATACCTACCTACCTGACCTGGCGTGACATTGATGTTCAGCCGCACCAACCCAATCAGGCAGCTTATGCAATCGCTGCACTGCTCTCTAAAAGAGACGGAAGATCAAATTGGCTTGCCTGTACTGCGCCCTTTTTGTGGATATGTATGCAAGGCTATGCTAGACGGGCTACAGCAAAGTAGGTGTCGACACGCTTATTCCTGCCCAACGGTTCCTCCTCTGTTGAACGCGGAGTCTACATCGTGGCTGTCTGTCTGGCCGCCCAATACGACAATTCACTTCCGGTTCTCTTGCCATCGCCCACCGGCCTTTAGCCCTTACCTGAAGGAAAGCGCGCGAACAACTTTCTCATAACACCTGAAGAAGGGAAAGACCAAAGCTACGGAAGAGATTGGATGTCGCAAAAGCATGATGAAGAGGAAGAGAGTACATATTGTGTTTTCGATCTCTTCATAGTGCACCTTGGGGGCAAACCAAGGCTTGCACATAAACGGGACAATCTAGCCGGGCAAATGCCATTCGATACCGTATTTCCACGAAGTAGAGACTTCCAGCTGGTAAGAAGCTCAATGATCGGGTACGGAATTGCGTAAATTGCGATGTGGAAGAAGGACTTGAGCATAACCCATCGACCCTTTGCGGCCCTGACCGGCCTCTATACCCATGTTTTCTGCCGGCTACTCGATACACCAACAGAAATATAAAAGAGGCAGATGCATAATGTATCAAATCCCGGCTGGGCAACTTACTGTTCTTTCAAGTTGTGTTTTCGTAGCTATGACTTCCTGGTTTCATGCATGGATATACTTAAACGCTTAGACTTGCACAATAGCTCCTTTGTGCTCTGGGTTTGAAGACGTGGGAAGTTGAGAAAAAGAGTATTCATCTCTCAACCAGACATTCACCAAGTATCTCCATATCTAAGGTATCTTGGGTAGGACCATAGGTTTGGCAAAGTTTGCTCTATCCAAGCAAGTAGTTTCGGCGCTTCCCACCTCCGTGGCCGGGATATTCCATTATGAATAAAACAAGAGGTGCATTGAGAGCAATGAGGCAGAAAGACAAACAAATGAAACAAGAGGTGCCTGGTGTGCCCGCTCGGATACGACCTCTATAGATCAGCTAACATCAACACCAGGAGATTCCTCCGAGGCCCGCAAGGTGCGGCGCAAGCAACACTAGTAGAACGCTTGACCGAGCTCTATCAGTATGAGTTCGCGGCCAAGTACAGCAACTACCAAGCAAGACTTTGCAGGAGACTTTAAACCGAAGGGCGAGAATCTCGAACGAAGAACTCCGAGCGACTCCAAGGCTGAGAATCTATAATTAAGAGGAACTTCGGGTAGAGAGGCCGATTTGGCATCAATGGCGAGACTTCTAACCAATTCCTCCCGACCAAGTTCCTCCCAGCCAGGTTCCTCATAACCAGGCTCCTTCAAGACTATCCGGATGACGGATTGAATCAAAATTGATAAGGCATGAGATCCACTTGCCTACCCACTGATGTTGAGCCCTTTCTTTCTTGCTATCATTCATAGAGGCATACGCGTAAAAGGGTGGATTCAAGCTAGAGCGGTAGTCAAAATAGTCACGCTAGTCAAGACAGTCACAGTTAAAATACCAGACTCAGTCTACAATTCGAGCATAGCACCATCGCCCTTCAACCCATCGCCTCCTCCTCCTCGGCGAAACGACCTCAAACCCCTTCCCCTGAACCACCGTGATACCAGCCTCATACTTCAACAACACCCCAAGCAACCTCGCATCCTCCGCCCCCAAAGCATACCCAACAGCTGTCTCTCCCCTCCCATCCCTCCTGTTCACATCAACGCCTCCCCGTCCACACAAAAACTCCACGAGATCCGCAACCCCAGCCGCAGCAGCAAGATGCAACAACCCCCTTCCCTCTCCATCAACATCCTCAACCCTCACGCTCTCGTCCCCAAGCAGCACAAACAAGGTATCCGTATCAGGCACAAAGATCCGGCCGGATTTAATCCACGCACAGAGGGCATACCATAACGGCGCCCGTAGATCCCCGTCTCTGAGGTTCATGTCTACATCCGGGGCTGTCATAAGCAGACGGGCCATCGCTGGGTTGGTTGTTTCCGCGGCGTATGATATCGCTGTTCTACCACTTGCGTCTGGGAGGTTCACGTCGGCTTCGTGGGTAAGGAGTAAGTTGACCGCGTCTAGGTTTCCGCGCCGGGCGTGTTCGCAGAGGGGGATGGTTCCTTGGGCGGACATGGTGTTTGGGTTCGCACCCTGGCGGAGGAGGTTTCGTAGTTCGTCTAGGAACTTCCCATTGGTGATATCGTTTATTTTCATGTCCAGGACTGTCTCTGCGCTTGGGGCGCTCACGCGGACCGGTTTTTGCTTGATAGGTTCGGGATCTTGTGTATCAGGAGACGCCTCGGTCGTGGTGTTTGCGACGTCGACCCATCCCTGATCGATAGCTTCAGGGGACTTTGGATCCAACGAGGTACCCATATACGGTTCGTCGGAAGTGCTCGGTCTGTCATCGCTGACAATTTCCTGGACTTGTCGGTCCAAAATGGCATCTACCCCGGAACCGTATACCTCAGGCTTGATCTCCGGAGCAACCTCAGCCACCTCGCGCCGCCGTGCCTCCAGTTCCCAGGCCTCGGGCCTCGAATTGATCTCACGAACCATCGTCGGTGCTTTTGGTGGAAGGCCTAAAGTAGAATCGTCAGAAACCCAGCGATGAACGAGATCCACGCCCCAGAAGCTGGAAGCAGATGGCTTACCTGTTCCTGTTGTACTACTCTACCTCGGAATATACGCACTAAACGAAGGAATCAAACCCCAAGGGAAAACGGGAGTCCTGAGATGATTTCCCCAAAGCGACGTAAGCACGGATTTTGTTGGGCCGACAAAAGGCAGCCTTGTCAACGACTGAGACGCACACGCAAACCACACACACACCCACGACCCAACCCCATGGGACGCATATGCCCAGCCTATAACGAGGCAACCAAGACCAAATCCTCCAACACCTCTTCACACCTTTAAGGCTCGCAATTCGTCCATTCGCCGCGCTCTCAGCGTGTAGATCTCCTTTCTTTTAGGGGTGGCATGTGGTGGGTTACACACCAGGCAGCTATGAGCATTGCCTCTGCGTCACAAGGGCCACGCGCCAAGGGCTCATCCTACTGGTCCCAATTCAGAGAGGCTAGCCATCTTCACCTGCTCCTCTCTTCATCATTGCTTCAACCATGCTTACAATACAAAAAAGTCTTCTGTGAATCTGGGACAATTTTCATTCTTCTTTCATACATCAATTGGCTTTGAAAATGGCCAAGTGCTACCATTAGCTAAGTCATCTCATGCAACCATCTCTGTCTGCCGTTGTCGCATACACGCGACTAAATCAAACGCCAAAAACCTCGCCAGTCCCTGGTATGCTGCCGTCCCGGAATGAGAAGAAGTTGAGAAGAAAGAAGATAGTTACACAAGCAGCAAAAGAACCCCCCCCCTAATGCTCAAGATGTGAGAGAAAAAACGAAACCACAAGACCGAGTTTCACTTCCGCCGGCTTGTCATCTAGGCAACCAGGGGTTGGGGCTCGGACTTCTCGCAGGTAAAGAGATTGACGTGGTAGTCTCCACGAGCAGCGCAAGCCAGAATAGGCTTGTGCGGGTGGAAGGCAGTTGCTGCAATGGGAGAGCCCCTGTTCTGTTGGAGGAAACTTGAGTAAGGCTCGACTCGAGACAACTCTTGACCGTCAAAGTTGAAGACCTTGACGGCATGGGCAGAGGTACCACTGCAATTGGGGGTCAGTTTCAATATCGCGAAAGAAAGAGGAACCTGGATGATAACTTACACAGCAAACACTGGCAGGTGTTCATGCGTGCTGGCTGTTCGAAGCGTGTCTCGAGTTGTTTGGTAAACGTGAAGAGGTCGATCCATGCGGATATCCCACAGTTTGACCTTGCCGTTTCTGCTTGCGCTGAGCAGTTCCCGTTGTCCGCCACGCTGCAGATGGACGCTCTTGATCCATTGCCTATCCGTCTCGTCCTTCCACTTCTTGATCATGGAGTCCTGGGGTCTGATGCGGGTGTCGAAAACGCGAACAGCGCCATCACCAAACCCAGCTACAACTGTGTGTCCGGTCATCTGGTCAGACGTCAAAGACGTAACACAAGAGCCAGACCGGGCGGGAATGTCGATGACGCATTTTTCAGCACCAGCGGACCATACCCGAATGACACGCACATCACCAGCCACAAGTACGCGGCCGAGTGACTGCTGCCAGTCAAACACCATGCCAGAGTTGACATTACTGGGCACCATGTGCGTAAGGGCTCGCCAAGACGAGGCCAGGTTGATGGATCTGTCGGAATCGTAGTTTTGGTAGATTCTGAGTACCCCATCTGACGAGCCAGTCATCAAGAATGCCTGGTCATCTTCATTGATGAACTTCATGTCACTGATCCTCGAGCCTTCGGGGTTTCCGTTGGAAAACTTGCTCAGTCGGGCATGCTTCTTCCAATCCCAGACGCACACCGTGTTACCATCGTCTGCAACCGCGAGCTGGTCTTCAAACTGATGGAAAGTGAGTTTGGCGGGTTGCGAGCCATTGTTGGTGATGCCAAGCTGGTTATTCCACTTATGGCTACCAGCAAATTGCTTGAGTGGTTGTGTTTCTGTCAAGATGAAGTCGTTCCGGGATCTTCTCCACAGCCGTTCGTTGTACTCGGTACTGCCTGGTTCGTCTGACTCGCTCGGTTTCATCTGAGGCTCGCAGAAGTACTCGATAGACCATTCCAGGAAAGAACTTTGTAGTGGCATAGCTGGCACTTCGCCCAGCTTACGATCCTCGAAACCAGTGGAGACGGGCTCTTTGGCAATATGATAGTTGGCGTGAATAGCCGTTGGGTCGCTCTGTTCTGGTGGGGCTTCAGCAAGCTCAGGAGCCTTGATCTTCTGGGAACCAACCCTATGCAGGCCAGGCGAAGGTGCCGGAGAGGAGTAGTTCGGCTTCTCGTTGGCATCAGCCTTTCCGTCATTGCCAAACAGTGGCAGCTGGAAAAGCAAGCTCGCTGTGCGACGCAACAGGCCAGGAGATGGCAGTGGTGGAGTAGCCAAAGAGTTAGAAACGCCAATCGCATTGCTTCTTTGGCTCAAGTGCAAGTGGTTCTTTGTCGACGCACGCTTTGCCCTCTTTCGAATGTCATCAATGAGGCTTTGTGCATGCTCACCAACAGGTGAAGCCATCACAGCTTGGTGGACATGGTCCACAATCACTGTAGCGTCACGCTGAACCTCAGGATGAGGATCAACATTCAGCATCAGAGCATGCTTCCAGCAGGCTGAAAAGACAGTGTTGTGGGCGAAACCGTGAACATTGGGCTTGATGGTGCCGTCTGCGTTTCGGTTTTCTTTCCGTGCATAATGCAGGCCCATCTTGTGGTCCATGCCGTCCTGGCCTGGAGGGAACAATAGATATTCCCTTTCTTCTTGAAGCTGCTCATAAGCAGCGACAATGAACTTACTCTCAAAACGTAGAATGAATCTTGAGAGGAAGACAAGGAACTCGCGGCGAACCATTGGGCTGCCGTCATTGGCCATATCCAGAAGTGTCCAGGCGATGGACTCTTCGATCCGAGCGACCTCATCCGTCAGGTCGATGATGCCCAAAAAGGTAGTCATGGAATACACCATGGCAGCTCTCACTTCAGGAACGGGATCCTTGGTCAGGAACGACAACTTGGCCGGCGCATTCTCTCTAATACCACGCCATTTGGCCTCTGGAAGTTCCTGCCACAGCTGACTGATGCAGAGGCAAGACCACTGGCGCAGGAGTGGGTTCTCCTGGTTCTGCAGGTGCATTAAGCAGTAAGTCATTATGTCGGTTTGATTGCACACATGCTGCCCTGGCTTGTAATCCTTGCAAAGCATGGATAGAATGAAAGCGCACATCGCCTTATGCTCAGCTTCATTAACGACTGGCAAACCCTCGGATGGCTTCAAAATCTGGGCAAAGTAGTTGTACCCGCTGTCCTTGATAAGGTCCTGCTGGCAGGAAATATCCACAGCCAGAATACGGGTCCAGATGAAGATCATGACCGGTTTCAGTTCCGCAGCAGCGGACTGTAATAGCTTGAGGACATATGGGAAGATGCCTATGCTCAGAGCAAGCTGGACTGCCCATGGGCCCAGGTCAAGGAATCTTCCGAGCAAGATGAGCGCCCTAACTCTATGCTGTTGACTCAGAAGAACTTGTAGCACCACTGGGAGCTGCTCAGGGGGCCTCTGGGACAGGGCATCACCACGGGTGAGGTAGACGTCGAATGCTGTCAGTTGTTCGGTAAAGAAGGTCGAGTTCTGGTACTCGTACTCGAGGCCTTCGTTCTCCTTCCTTTCCAGCATAGGCAGCTGGGCCAATGCCATGTCCACGGCCAAGTCCCAGCTTGCCCACAACGGGTGCTGTCGGGTCTCGGGGAGCTCGGGGAAAGACTGTGGGTGGCACCCGTATACAGACATGATTCTCTGGGCCAGAAGAAAGTTGCGGAAAAGAGCGGCCACCATGAGATCCTGTCTGAAAAACTTCCGGAACAGGTGTCGGGGCAGGGTAGTCCAAGCGATTGTATCAGTAATAGCCGTGAAGATCCAGTTCAACTCGCCGAGTGGCGTTCTTCTCTCCTGTAGCCTGCCAGGCAGCTTTTTGGCGCGCTCTGGTGTGAGATTTGTCTTGAGAGGGTTCTGGAGAACGAAGAACCAGAGAGCCATCTCGATAGGGGTGGTGAGACATGCCGTGAACAGATCGGCTGGGAGGAGCGGGTTCGTAGGGAGATTCTCCTTGACGCCGCAGGCAGCCAAGTGGATGTAGGGCTGAAACACGGTCTTCTCATAATTGGGGTCTCTTGCGGCAGCTTCGTCCTCTTCTTGTTCGTGCTTCTCGACAAATCTGTGGTAGTTGTTGAGGATATTACCAGCTTCAGAACAGTCCCAGACGTAAATCGTAGGGGCATGAAGCCACTGTTGAAGATCGTAGAGCGACACTGGGATGTACTGGGTGTAGTTCTTATTAAACACCCAGATCTCGCCACTCGCAGTGGGTTTAGGCACTCCGTGGCCATTGTAATGAAGAAGAACCCGCTCATCCTTTGCGTTCCTACGCAGGGACTGACAGAACTTCTTCGTCTCTTCAACCGACGGATCGAGGTACTGCTTATATCTCGTGCGTATAGCCAGTGTCTCGTACTGCGCTTGGAGGGCTTTGCCGATGTTCTCGAGGGCCTTCTGAGGTGGTGGCGTTGTAGGGTCTGTCCATGCTTCCAGTTTGGCGCCCGGGTTCGTCTTAAGCTGGTCGGGAGGCTCGACTGAAATATTAAGGCAGACGGCCAACGCAGCAGACACTGTCTTGAGTCTATCTCGCATGCGCCAGTCCTGCAGCTTGTGTAATGTCGCCTTGGGCTTGCCTGTTGTCTCGTGTCGCTTGTCGGTCCAATACATGTACCAATTCTGGAGGAAGGAGTCAGCACGGTTCGAGTTGCGAGTGGAAACCAACGAGTCCCAACGGCGCAGGGAAGCGATGTCGTCGCACTCAGGCTCGTCTGTATCCAAGATTGCCGACGCGGCTATCGGCCCCATCCACCCGGGAGACTGCATCGTCTGAGAGGTCTAGATGGGGGAGGAATGTAGACTCGAGCCCTGGATACAGTCATGCCCCGCGTTGCCCCTCGGGATTGGATTCCGGACAACAAACTCCCAATATGGCGTGCAAGCCGGGAGAACAGAGCACCAAGTCTCCTTTCTTTGCGCGACGCGCGCTGACAGGAGACTATGGCTAGACCAGTCCGGCTGGCCAGCGCCGCCACAAGGCCGCCGCCAAGTGGGGAGGCGCAGAGCTCGAGGTGGGAAAAAGGAAGAAGGGCAAAAAGTGTAGATGGAGGCTATGGGGAAAGTTGCAACTCACATTTGCTATCTGGGCCAGTATTTCCGGCGACTCGTGATATTCATCGAAGCCGTGTCTGGCGCCCCAATGCGGAATGTCTTCTTCGGAGTGGTCAACCTCTTCAGGGCGGCTGACTCCAAATTCGCTCTTGGATCGCATCAGCAGCGGCTTCACGGATGGCCGCTTCGGTCGATCCGAATCCGATTGTTCGCCGGTAGAAAAACCAGCGACCAGGTTTTGATTATTACCCGGGGCACTTGATGGGCGTCTTGCGTTGCTGTCATCGTGGCTCGTGGATCGTTGAAGTGCTAGAGGAGGAGCAGCACCGGCGTAGGGTGAGGGTTGGGCTGTCGCATCGGGAAATGCGGAGGATCCGTTAGGACCCTGGGTCTGCGGCATGTTGTTGGGACTTCCATTAACTCCGAGCAGTGCAGTGCTGTTTGTCCTCCGCGAAATGCTGGCGTAATGTCGAGGTTGAGAAGTTGAGAGTGTTGGTTTGTTGGAGGAGCTCGACTGTCGAAGGTGACTGGCGGGCGAGGGGCGAGGATGGGTCTGATCTTGCGCAGCGGCAGCCGTCATCTTGACGGTGACACTGTCGTTGAAATTCGAAGTTGGCGCGCAAACCACCTAGAAATCGATTACTGCGACGACATCTCGGTCGTGAGGTGTCGGGCGGGATGAGGCGGATGAAGATATTGGGTAGGCGATTGCGTCGGTGACGCGAATTTGGAGTTTTTGGAGAGGTTGACGGGAGTGACAGGTCAGATCGGGTCAGGTTGGCAGCGCAGCGCAGCGGCTAACACCCGACTTCAGCTCAGCGTGGGCAGGTCGGCAGGCAGATCCACAGGGTGAGGTGCGGCAGAGGTACACCTGGCCCGCGGTACACAGTAGAAGAGACCAGCCAAAATTTAGGAATGGCACCTTGGGCTGAGGTCAGCTTCGGCCACCAGCCTATCAGGTGCCGGGAACAATCACCTGCCTTCTGCTTCGCTCGCTCCGAAAGCTTCTTCCGATGTTCCGATAAAGGTGTTTCTAATTGCCTGTTTCTAATTGCCTGTTTCTATTTGCCATATCTTTTGATACATTCGAGTCACTGTTGCTCAAAGAAAACAGGGGACGATTATATTCAATTTAGGAGCAGTGGTTCATCTCATCTCTCGAACTTCTACTCGGGCGCAGGTCACGTCCATCGACAACGAGAATAAGGTGCTGCGTATGTATGGGAAATGGCAAAATGAATCAGAAATGATGGATGGGAGGCAATTGATGACCCGACCCTGACCGCCTTTCAGCTCCACATCTCCGCATTTCGTCCAGTCTCCCGCGTCCACTCAGATCCGAATCGGGAATCGGGGGGAGATGAGGTAAGAAGGCCTCGGCCGGATGCACGGTCCAGGCCCGGCTCAGAGACATAAAGGCGCTAATCCGAAATGAGCAATCCAAGTTCCAACTCAATGCCTCTCTTGAATCTTCACATAGCTCCCTCTTGCGGCTTGCCTCGTGCAATCAGCAGAGCAGAGCCAAAGTTCATTCAGTCTCATTATGTCACAGACTTGGTTGGCAGCATGAACGAACGCTTCGGGCTCCGCGTTTGTCCTGCGAAAGTACTCGTGGACTGGTCTTTGCCAAAGACAGTACTTGCGAACGCTGAACTGGTTCAAGGCGGGAGGTCCTGTTAGATCGCCGCACCTGCCCTCTGTAGATGGACTTTTTGTGGTGGCAGGTGGTGAATTCCCGAGAAACCGCAGTGTGCCTGACAATCAATGTTTATCAATCTTGCGAAAGGCGCTACCTATGTGGCTACCTACCGTATCGCAGGCTCATTAACAGCACGAGCAAATCGGAGAAAACATTCCTCGCAACATCACTCAGGCACGGTGGGGAATGGGCTGGCGGAAGGCGGGCGCGTTAGAAACAATGTCTTGCCCCAAACGGCCGGCTCGCTCTCTGTTTTCCTTCCTCTCCTTTTTGCTTCCCTTCTTTCCGTTTATTTTGCGGGGACATCGTTATCGTTTTTTCTTTTCTTCTCTTCTTCTTTTTTATGGATCGTCGCATCCCTCTCCGTTGGCCTTGGGCACGTCATAACCGACATGTTGCGTATCGCCGACCCATTCACCTCTGTCTCTGGGTTTGTTGACCTGTGTACCTGGCTGCTACGATACGAGGTAGGATTCGCTTCAAGTTGTAAACTACATGTGGACTGTGTGTGGACTGTACTTGTGTTTCTTCTGAATGTCGGCTTGGCCGTTTCTGCCTTTATGCTGACGACGACGATCACGACGACGAGGGGGGCGCCCGCTTATGCTTGTAGCTCACCGCATGCCCTGCTTCAGGGTCATTCGTTGTTGAGACGGTTTATGCTTGGAGACCTTCCCGATCGCCGAATGCGGCTGCGCTCTTAAGACTCGAGACCTTATAAGATGGACTGGTCGGTTCGTCGTCGGCCGGTGCGTCCATGCGCGCCATCAGAGGCCATCGCGAGGGTCCATCCTGTTTGTCCTCTCGGCTCGAACCTGGACTGACCTTGTCTCGAACACGAGCCTCAATTCACATCGCGCTCGCTCATCGTCTCGCTCGCGCCGTCGACGATCAGAGTTGCACGCCAGCAGCCGCCGCCGCGTGGCCAGCTTTCCGTCTCCCGTCTGCTTCAGGCCAACGCTAATGCTCGCTCACCAGAATGAATGTCCGCATCTTACTCTCAGACGCGCCATCTCAGTACAGCATTCTTGCGCCGAATTTAGCAGGCAGGCTAAGCCGATAGCTTAATTTGCCAGAATTCCATGCCTTTTTCCATGAAAGTCTATCTCTGCGCCATCACCGCCCTCCCACTGCTCATGCGCCAGGAGTCTTCAGGCAGAGCCGGCGCACGCCCAATATGGCATGGTGAGATGCTCTCAACGTCTGTGGTGTGGAGCACGCTCCCTGTCGTGAGCCGTGGTTTGCACAGTGTACCTATTCGGATATGACAGACATCGCGAACAGTATCTATTTCCATACCGTGGGAGGAAACTAACAACATCCCTTCTCTCCCTTCGTCGCTCGTAGGACCTTCGTCCTCGGAAATCTTCCCGCCTTCTTGCTCTTACGCCGTCCAATTCTTTGCGGCCGCTGCCGAATTTCGAACCTTCAAAGAGAGTCCGTGTGCCAGGAAGGCTGCCGAATGGCGTTGAAGCTTTGGGAGACTTGAAACGCACCACCCCATGGCAGATAGACCCCCTGAAGGGAAATTATCCTCAACGTATCAATGGAACCGTCGCCCTCTTTGACTGCTACGGAGGAGACAACCCCCTGAAGCCACGAGTTTTACGGGCTACCAATGACCATTAACAACCTCTGCTATGCGCCAGAGCAGCATGGGAAGAATCTTCTCATTGCCACGAGCCTCATCGTCTTTTCCCTCTTGGATCTTCTGTCTTCCTTGGCGGATGGTCCGGGGGCCGGAACGAGGGCGGGAACAAGATGAGGATGTTCATGAAATCCTGTGGCATGGGCGCGCCGCCTCGGCTGCTTGTCAGACATGTATGTACGAGAAGTACATGCGTTAAGGGCATTTGTTTGAACACGCCGGGATGGGATCCTTTAATACGCTGTTTCTTGCCCAGCTTGCCCAGACTGGCGGCAGGGTGTTGGGGGCCGGAATGCCAGTGACTGGACGTCATGTGCTTCCATGTCTCATCCCGAGACCTGATGTTTGTCAAAGAAGAAATACATTACGAATACCTACCTTTCACCTGTCCAGTCCACGGGCATCAAATTGACTTTGAGGACCTGTTCGTGCCTCGGGTAGGTGGCATAGAATACGATGTTTCTGGGTGCGCGGACGTTCAGGCTTCAGCAATAAGTTGGCCAACAACATTAATTGCAGAACATCAGCAAGTACCAGAACGGACGTCGCCCGACTCGGACCTCAGGATCTGCAACCTTCCGTGGTATCGTGATGGGGGCAGCAGTTGGAGCAGTTGGAGCCTGTGATGGGGGGCGATGTCACGTTGATGATTGAGCTAGTTGTTGTTGAGGCATCCTGTCCCAAATGGGCAAGATTCCACAGTCGTTTTGACTGATGGGTACGCATGCCGGGGCCGAAGACTGGCAAGCCGCAAGGAACCTAGGAGGCATGTGTGCCCCTTGAAAGTTGAAAGGGGACGACGGAACAGCTGGCTCTGATTACAAGTTGTTCTAGAGGTCGGGAAGATCAGCGCCAGGAAGACTGATTTGACTCTGACTCAAAGTCGCACATGGCACTTGGCGCGCATCAGCTTTTGTCCAGACTGCACTGCAAAGGCAGCGAACGTCGAGGGCACGAAGCTTTCCACCCACCAGCCTCGCCTCAGAGTTGAAGAGGATGTTGAAAGAGACGTGTTCGAACAATGTGTGGGCGGAAGAGTGTGAGCCAAGCGCATTACTGCGTAGGTAACGGGTCGGTCAGCAGTCAGCAACCAGTGGACGGGACGGACGCCTCAGGTTGGGCTGGAGAAGTCCTTGATAGTAATAATAGAACAGCGAACCTTTAATCCTCATCGAGATGTTTGGATGGGATACGTAGATAGGTACTTTAGGGGTCCTAGCCAAGGTAAGCCAAAAGAAAGTACCTTTTTCGTACTTGATCCGACAGCGAACCAGTGACGGTCCCCTTTCTCGCTTCAGCGGTAGCCTGTCAGGCAAGGTACCTATCCGTACACACGTACGGCACGTTCAATGATACGGTGCAATTCGCAAGGCCTCGTCGTGTCCCCAGCTAGCCCGCCGTGCCCGCCCCTTTTGAAGGAAACGGGAAGCAGGTCACCGTGCATGATGATATACTGGTGAGTGACACCGTTTCAAAGGGTGGATCCCACGTGGCGACGAGTACTCTCAATGTCCCGCCTGATGTCCGAGAATCCTTCCTCCCATTCCCAAATCCCCCCCACCGTAACGAAAGCGCCTGCAGCCTCCCCGTGCTCCTCTCTGAAAAAGTTTCCCCTTCTGCTTGGATGCTGGGCTCTCCCCTACGCAGCCCTTGCACCCCCATCCACAAGCGAGCGGAAACTCAAGCTGCACGACATCCCATTGGTCCAACATCAGCTAAGAACAAGCCCCTGGCCCCCTCTAGGCGCAAGTGCAGAGTGCAGATGTGCAGGGCAGGTTGCAGGGCGGGCTAAAGCAGTCAAGTTGGTGGGTGGAGAACAGGCCAGCGCAGCGACCCGGCGGAGCCAGTCAGTGCAGGAACAGGAGCCCCCGAAACGATGGAGAGAGACTACGAGTGCCTAGGTACCTAAGGTGGTAGACTGTAGCCCAATGGCAGGACCAGGAGGTAAGGTACTTCGCAGCTAGCACTGGGCTGCAACATTTTTAGGTGCACTTTACCAGGTTCCGCTGTTACTCCTGCATTTTGGAGGTGAATTCCATCAGCCCAGCAGCATTGGATCCAATGTCTTCTTTTTTGCCCTCTGCCCCCTTCCCCATCGCTTCCCAATCCCTAGAGTGGCATTTCTTCCAAAAAAAAAAAAAAAAAAAAAAAAAAACCTCCTTTCTACAACGGCAAAGAGAGGCAGCGAAGTGACCGACACACTCTCGGAAAAGACCACTCTAGCCAGGCATTCTTTCCTCACGCTGCATCATCAGCTGTCTATCCAACTTCGACCTTCCTTCACTTTGCGATCGCCGTACCAGCAGCAACCTATTTGCGGTCTACCTGGCCCGAGAGCCTAAAGTAATAATAAACCGACCACGGACAGAAAAGATACGGCAATCCGAAGGGGAAAACGCCTAAGGAGAAGGGAAAAAAAAAAAAAAAAAAAAAAAAAAGAGTAATCAAACCCCTAAAAATCCGACGAGCCAACCCCCGTCAGCGACAGCTCTGCGTAAAGGTACGCGCGGAGTCGACATCGTCCCGTCTCGCCCAACACCCAGCCTCCTTTCGTTTCTCACCCCTCGCTCCCTTAGCACCTTACTCGCTTCACTGCGCCGACGAGGAGGACCGCAATAAAAAAAAAGACGAGGTTGAACATCGCAGGACGCTCCTCGCCTCAGCAACGCGCGCTACCCCGGGCACACTCCACCGATGTGAACCCAGCCATCCGCACACTCGAGCATCGACTCCCTTTCCCGTTCCTGCGTATCTGCTGCGTTCCTGCATCCGCTGCATCTCCATCGCGCCTCACCCGACTCGGCTTCCCAGCGACCTGGCGATAGCACCCGCTACCCGCATCATCGACTCTACGAGTAAAGTGCGACTTGAGCGACTTTTTTCATTATCGTGACGCCCCTAAACAACTTGTTCAACGAACGAACGAAACGATTTCAATTGATACCCCCCCAAAATCCCGGGCGCACTGGACACGACGTACGAGCAAGTCCATTTTCAACTGCCGCTCAGCGTGCAGGCCTCGATTTGATTCGCCATGGCTTTTCTTTTCAAGTCCAAGAAGAATCAGGATCGAGCTCTTGCAAGCCGCGATGGAAACTCCGGTGGCTCACAGGGCTCAATCCAAAGCCAGCGAGAGAGAATCGCGAGGGAAGAGAAGAACGGCACCCAGCGCTCGACACCGACCGGCAGCTTGAACTCAATCGATCGCGATGGGAGCGCCGGTGCTGGAAGCCCCGACCAAGGCTACACTCGCCAGCGAGGACCTAGTGTAGACCAAATACCGACACAAGCGCCTTCAAATGATTTGCCTGTAAGTTTATCCAGCTCACTGCGATGAGCTGGCGCTGCTGGAACACTGCTGATCCCCCTCCCAGCTTCGCAATGCTCCACCCGTATCCTCGCAAAACCAGATGCCTCCCCAACAACAAATGATGAACCCTAATGCGTCGCTATACCCCTGGTCGCAACGACGATTGACATATACATCATCACACCCGAGCCCATTCCCCCGTTATGGAGCGGCCGTCAATTCGGTCTCGTCCAAGGAGGGCGATATATACGTGATGGGAGGTTTAATCAATAGCTCCACCGTCAAGGGCGACTTGTGGATGATCGAGGCCGGACAGAACATGGCCTGCTATCCTTTGGCGACGACAGCCGAGGGACCTGGCCCGAGAGTCGGGCACGCAAGTTTGCTCGTTGGCAACGCCTTCATTGTTTACGGCGGTGACACCAAAGTAGATGAGATGGACGTCCTGGATGAGACGCTCTATCTCCTCAACACCTGTGAGTTTCATTTCGCCGTGCAGCGTGCACTGCCTCGTGGGAAGTTGAGTATTTGCTAATGAAGCACAGCAACGAGACAATGGTCGAGAGCATTGCCCGCTGGCACTCGGCCTTCCGGCCGTTACGGCCACTCCCTCAACATCCTCGGATCCAAGATTTATATCTTTGGTGGTCAGATCGAGGGCTACTTCATGAACGATATTGCTGCATTTGACCTGAACCAGCTCCAAATGCCCAACAACAGGTGGGAGATGTTGATCCAGAATACAGACAGTGGCGGACCACCCGTCGGGAAAATTCCAGCTGCCCGAACCAACCACTCTGTGGTTACTTATAATGACAAGATGTATCTGTATGTATTGCGTAAAGCCTCGCAGGTAACACTACTGATGCACCTCTAGCTTTGGTGGTACAAACGGTTATCAATGGTTCAATGACGTTTGGAGCTATGATCCTGCGACGAACGAAT